TCTACTGCTGCTTTACTCATTATGGATTTGCCTAGATGTAGAATATAGTGTTTCATATTTTCACACGCCAATCTAGATTCCAGTTTCGTTCTGGCATTGTAACCTTGTGCCTCAAATACCAGTGCCACCTACACTACACTACCGTGCAGGGAACAATTAAATTACAGCCTCACAACCCGAATAGCGCTCGTGAGAGCGTCAAACACTGGGAAAAGAATTGTGCAATGCAAAAAATTATCAATTGTGTTTACAGTTATTATCCGAAACATCCAGTTGAACTATAGCAGGATAACATTTGCTTTGTAATAACCTGACGTCGGAATACTGAATGAGTGAATGAGATAAACTACCACTCTAGATACTTGGATAATTATAACAAACTAGTGGGGTAATTTCACAAAAAATTATTGAATATCAGTTCGATAAGAATTTAAACAGCGACATCTCTAGCCGGGGTTGGTAGCTGTAAAGGTAACTGACTGGGTGACGAAATACTTTCATAGATTTCTCATAGACGGCGCTATGGCTAAAAAATTAATAATATTATTAAATACATATTTAATCTGATTTATTTATAGGCAACCAAACTATCACGCCTGTTTCGCATTAGGGTTGGCACACATACTTCTTTCGCTTCCTCCGTTCGCTAGACATCTGTCTATTCTCAATACTTTGACCTGGCCTTTTGGCACTGTCATTCTAGTTGAGATATGTACACAGAGGTCAACCTTTCCATATCTCCCCTTTCACGTTTGCTCTACAATTTCGTTTTATTGTACCATTTTATTTTTTGCGTCGGAACAATGTACTTTGCTTGTAGGCACAAAATAGTAACTTGTTTGTTTTAATTGTTTTCGGATACCAAGTGACTGGACAAACAAGTCGTGCATCTAGTGGTAACTGTTAAGTGACACGCCTGTCCCTACGGACAGTGACAGTGCCACTCAGAGCTTTGAATTGCAAAAACCTGCGGGATAATGGTGCCACTGCGCCTGTAGCCCTGAAACATAAATTGACAAGTCTCATGTGCTTGTAATTTCACCAGTATCGTCATCACCATTTTTATAATTATAATCTGTTCAGGGGTTTCAAATTGTCTATTGAGAAACAATCATATTAGGCTTCTACCGTTTCTAGTGTGGCAGTATTTTGATTGTAGAGAAACCATAGTTATCGCCGACTACATGCACAAACTTACATATTACTTTCGCTCACTCTCTCACGGTTCTATTGCGTTTTTTTGTAGGTAAATGTTATAAAGTAATTAAATATCTGCGCCGTTCATTAGCTACGTATTGATAACGTTTAAGGAAAACGCTATTTTAACTAAAACCTGTTTAGAATTGTTAGTTTTTCAATGGAAGGGACATTTCCGGTATTTCATTGTATAGTGGAAAATTAATTGCGGATTTTTTTGTCAAATATGCTCAGGCGTATTAGCATTGTCGTAACTGTCTCTATAGTACCTCATAATCATCATATACAGCCTGATTTCACTCACTGCTGGGTATAGACCTTCCAAGTTTTTATGCCACTCACCACGGTCCTACGCTAGTCACGTACAAGTTCGCCTTGCGACCTTGGACGCCACTCAGTTATTGCCTTACTCCATCTGTCATCTTGTCTCCATACCATTTGCCCTGCGCATCTCCACTTTAGTTCCGTCATGCCATTCCCCACGTCTTTTACCTTCGTTCGACTTCGAATCTGGACATTGGGAACACGGTCTATAAGCGTGATATCAAACATAGCATGCCACATGACTCTCTGTGCACCTCTCATCCTATAGATAGCCTCCTGCGTGAGCGTCTTAGTTGGCATAGCGTCTGACACGGTTTGCCAAAAGACATTGGTTCAAATCCATCTTTGTATTAATAAATATGCTTATACTTTGAAATAAGAAAAAGGCGGTAAAACATGCTTTGACGTTTAGTTTTTTATTTGTTTATCCACTTCAGCTGGAACGGGGATTGCCTGACTAATAATAATATTCATCACTAACCCTCGGCCTTGTAACTCATACTTGTAAGGCAATCCCTGATTTCCAGACCTCTGTAATAATGTACTAACACTCTCAACATATACTTTCTTGTACTTACGTACATCAGCTTCTGCGTACTTGGATGACAAAAATCCGTGCTAGAGTCCCGTTTAGCTCTTGCAGGTTTTCACGATGTACGATATTTGAAATAAATGTTGTAAATGATAAATGTATGCCAAGGTTTATTTACAAAAAGCAACCCCTAAAGTTACTTGCTCATTTGAATAAGTAGTTAAGTTTAATCAATATGATGATTTCAAGTGTAACTTGCTATGAAATAAATGTATATAATAAAAATATTCACAAATGAAAGCTCATGCCGCTAAAGGGATTTCTAAATCGACTTTAATTACGAAGTAACCGTTCCCTTAGTGAGCTATCATCACTTTACATTAAAGATACTTCCGTATTTCAAAGTCAGCGGTAATTTCCATCGCGTGGATCCTTTATACAATAAAAACAAATTGACACCAATTATATATTACGTAAATAAACATTCTCTAAATAAATATAATCCGTTATTAATTAAACTTTAGACTAAATAAATTGAATCACAGCAGATTCAACTTGTTAATTAATTTACAGCGGTGAGAACTGTACATTTAACTTAATCACTAAATGAATAAGTTTAGTAACTTTTACTTTTATAGCGTCTTCGGAATGTCGTAATAATAAACTGTGATAGGTTTGTAGCAGGTTTGATGGTTCTTGATATCGTAGGCAGGGTGTGGCTTTTCGGCTTACAAAATCAACGTACAATGACGTATTACATTTAGTAGCAGTACAGCTCCTTGTGAAAGAGTTCGTCTAAGGAAGTACTGCCATCTTACCTATTTCTGCCATCAAGTAACGTAAGTAAGCAGTGGTGCTGGTGAAATTACAGGCACATATGACTTGTCAACTTATGTCTC